CACAGCTCACCCTGAGCAGCCTTTAGATGGCAGTTTGGCTCCTGTGGATTGTCCCACCACCAAAGGTGAGGTCCTCTTCTCCCATTAGCTGTGTTCTTCATCCAGCAGCTGGGCTCCACTCACCCCTTTGTCCCCCATCCCCTTGTGGGACTCTGACGTTCAGGCCCCTCACAAAACAGTCACCGTGTGCCATGTGTCTGAGGGATGCACCTCATTTACATAGATTTGAATAATGTCTACTTTATGGTGCCATTAAGCCTTCAATAAAAAGGAATTGCTTCTATAATTCACCAATGGGTTTATCAAAACACCCTGAATGAAAGTCGCTGGCAGGGGCTGGTTTTAACCATCTGATGAGAGGTGTCACCAGGTTTGGAGATCTGAGTATTCTTTAGTTTTCCAAGTGGGTCATTAAAAGCCACCTGTCATTCTGAATGACCTGATCTCTGGTTCCAAACCTTCTTGAAGAAAAGCAGCTTGGGTCTGCAACAAGAGCACTCAGACACCACACAGGAGGCAGAAGTGCTGCAGAGGTGGGGAAGGGCAGGAGATATGACCTCTTCTTAGGAAAATTCAGCTTGGTGCAGCCAGCCAGCTTCTCTGCAGCTGCTTTGTGTCGTGGTGGCAACTGTACAGGTCGTGTCAAAACATGAGCAGGGTTATGGTGAGGGCAGCTGTGGGACAAATCCACAGATGGCCTTTAAGAAGAATGTGGTCAACAGGTCAAGGGAGGTTCTCCTCTCCCTCTACTCTGCCCTAGTGAGGACACAGATGGAGTATTTTGTCCAGTTGTAGGCTCCCCAGGTCAAGAGAGGCAAGGATCTCCTGGGCAGAATCCAGGAGAGGCTACAGGGATGAGGAGGAGCCTGGAGCATGTCTGTGCCAGGCCAGGCTGAGAGCCCTGGGGCTGCTGAGCTGGAGAAGAGAAGCCTCAGAGGGGATCTGAGCAGTGCTGAGCAAGAGCTCAAGGGCCCCGGGGGGCAAGAGGCTGGGGCCAGACTCTGCTCAGTGGTGCCCAGCCACAGGCCAAGGGGCAACGGGCACCAACTGGAACCCAGGAGGTGCCACCTGAGCAGGAGGAGAAACTTCTTTGGGGTGAGGGTGTTGGAGCCTGGAGCAGCTGCCCAGAGAGGCTGTGGAGTCTCCTGCTCTGGAGAGATCCCAAACCCTCCTGGCTGTGACCCTGGGCACCCTGCTGGGGGTGAGCTGCTGGAGCAGGGGTGGGATGAGATGATCCCAGAGGTCCCTTCCAACCCCACCATGCTGGAAGCACACTGGTGGTTGAGTTTGCTGTGTGTCAGCAGAACCCAGTGCCCAGGCTCCCCTGGGGTTGGGGTGTCTCACAGAGGGCCCCTGGTGCCCTTCCCTCCCCACACCCTGGGTGTGGGGTGAGTCCCTCAGGCCACGCTGGGGCCCTGGGCCACGTGGTGAAACATGAACCATTTTTGGCTAATGCTCAGCTTTTCTGAGCAGGTTGAGAAGGGGAGGAAGGAGGCTCAGAGTTAGATCCTCTGCCTTCAACCATCAGATGACAAACGGGCTGCAGCACAAGGGTCAAACTCACCCCCACCACACCAGGCTGGATTTTTAGGCTTGGTGTGGCTGGGATCTGCTGTCCCTCTCTCTGGCTGCCTCCCTGGGGCTCTGGCAGCACCAGTGAGACCTGCACAGGAGGTCCTCGTGGTTCAGAGTGGGGTCAGGAGAGCAATGAGGAGGAAAACGTGTGACCCTGAGGAACAAAATAAAACCCCCGTGGTGAAGGGAAAGTTCTTACCCCCAGGGAACCATAACAAGAGTTTCTGCTGCACACTCAGGGTTTGTTAGTTGCAAAGGGCAGAGGAGGAGAAAAGGTCCTGCTGGGGGCTCAGAAATGAGCTCAATTACCCCCAAAGTCCCTTCAGCTCTGAGAACAGCCCAGTGAAATTCTCCTGTTCCTCACCCTTTCATGCTGTGCAGGAGAATCAGGGTGGGTCTGATAGCATTGCAGGGGCCCTGTCAGAGCCTAAACCACTTCTCAGGTCCAGAGCAGCAGAGGAGGTGCAGAGAGGGACTGCTGGGAAAGATGGAGAAGGTGAGGTTTGTGTTCAGAGAAGAAATTCAGAGTGTTGCTTGCTTGAGTGAGCCAAAGGAAGGCAGAGCTGTTCAGTTTAGGAGCCCAGGGAGGGGGTTAAGGCACAGAAGGATGTCAGCTGCATGAATAAATTCAGGTGACAGAATGGAGGTTAGAAGAAAGTTTCTGGTGTCAGAGCAATGAGATCCAGGAGCCTCTAGAAAGGTCTCACAGAGGTGATGGCAGAGGCAGAAAGTTTAACTACTTTTAAAGCAGAGCACTGTACTTTTCTGTGCAGTCACCTGCAGTAGGGCAGGGCTGGGTTCAGTGACCCTGAGGAGTATTTTCCACCCTCCTGGTTCTGGAGGATGATGAGCCTGCTGAGGAGCATCCCCGTGGCATTACAGAGCATCTTGGAGTGGAGTTGCTCTGAAGAATTTGTGTTGGGGAAGGAACAGAGTTGTAGAAGCATTTTGGTTAGAATTAGAGAATGGTTTGGGTTGGAAGAGAACCTTAAAGGTCATCTGGTCCAACCCCCTGCAGGGAGCAGGGACATCCCCAACTAGAGCAGGGTGCTCAGAGTGCCATCCAGCCTCCCCTGGGATGGTGCCAGGGATGGGGCAGTGACCACCTCTCTGGGCAGCCTGGGCCAGGGGCTCACCACCCTCAGTGTCAAACATTTCTTCATCCTCTCTAATCTGAATCTTCCCTTTTTTGTTTCAAACCATCCTCCCTTGAACTGTCCCAACAGGCCCTGCTCAAAAGCCCCTCCCCAGCTTTCTGACAGGCCCCTTGAAGTCCTGAAGGGCTGCAAGAAGGTCTCCCTGGGACCTTCTCTTCTCCAGGTTGAAGAGCCTCTCCCAGCAGAGGGGTTCCAGCATCATTTTTATGGCCATTAATCCAGGAGGAGTTAAAGCAAATCCATCACAAAAGCCTTCAAAAAGACAATCTTGTCTTGACCTGCTGAGTTGCTCCTTCATCCTTCTCTTCCTCCACTCCTTCACATCTCCTTGGCCTTTGCTGCTCACTCTGCTCAGTGCTGGGGCTGAGCTGTGTGCTCTCACTGGAACCCCCAAGGACCATGCTCCAACCTCAGGGATCTTCCAAAAACCCATAAACATTCAGGGTGCACTCTTCCACCAGCACACCCCAAATCCATGGGCTCTA